CCCCCCAGTCCGTCGCCCCCCTCGAACAGGTCGTAGTAGTCGACGTCGATGATGTCGGAGCCCGCCCGGGCGGGCGGCGGCTTGGCCGGGCCCGTGGCCGCCGTGATGGGCTCCTGCAGCCACGTCAGGTCCGTCCAGCCGCGAGCCCCCTGCGCCGGGGCCGGGCTGGACGGGGCCGCCCAGAGCTCCGGGGGACCCCCCGAGTGCCCCCCGGCGGCGGGCACGGGGCTGGGCTCGCCCAGCACGGGGCTCTGGGGCGCGGCCGAGCCCCCGGCCGCCGGCAGCAGCTCAGATTCGGCCGAGTCGGTGGCGAGCTGGGGGCCGGGGGGGCTGGGCGGGGCGGCCGGGAGCCCCCCGATGCCCCCCGGGCTGGGCAGGGAGGCCGCCGTGGGCCGCTCGCCGCTCCCCGGCTCCTCGGGGCTGCCCAGGGCCACGGGCACCGTCCCCTCGGCCCCGGGCCAGGTCACGGCCCCGGGGGGCACGGCGCTGGCATCGCCCTCCCCGGAGCACCCCGGGCACCCCTCCGGCATCGTCGACGGGTCCGTGGTGGCCGTGCCCCCCCCGGGGGGCTCTAGCTGGGGTCCTGCCGCGGCCCCCTCGGGGCTGGTGCTGTTGCTGGGTCCCCCCGGGGGGTCTCCGCTCGCCAGGTCCCATTTTGGGGGGCTGCTCTCCAGTGAGCCCTCCCAGGCTCTCCCCTCGGCATCGCTGGTGTTTTGGGGGGGCCGCTCAGATGCTGGAGGGGGACAAGGAGAGAAAGGCGTGTCAGAGGTGCCCCCGCACCTCTGGGAGGATGTGGCAACCTGGGGGGGTCCTGACAGACCCCCACCTGCTCGACCTTGCACACACCAGCACCCCAACAAGCTATTTGGGGGGGGTTGTACCCTGAATCCTTGAGCCTCTCCCAGGGGCCAAAGGGATGAACCCCGCAGAAACCCCCAGCTCTGATGGTTCCCCTGCACCCAGTCACCCCCACAGCTCTGTGACCCCCCGCAAAAGAGACACCCCCCCCCCCCAACACGGCCCCTCCCAAACCAAGATACTCCTGGCCCAGCCCCCTCAGCTGCCCTGCAAGGGGATCCAGCCGCCCAGAGGGATCCAGGCCCCCCTGCAAGGGGATCCAGCCCTCCTCTGGTTCCTGTAAATGCACCCCACACACACAGGGGATTCAGCTCCCTGGAGTGGGATCCAGACTCCCCCTCGCCCAGCAGATCCAGCCCCCTGCAGTGGAATCCAGCCCCCTTCCGAGGGGATCAGCCCCTCTGGTTCCTGTATATGCATCTCACATACAAAACAGGATTCAGCCCTTCCCACAACGGGATCCAGCCCCTACAAGGGGATCCAGCCCCCTGCAACAGGATCCATCCCCTTTCCAAGGGGATCCAGCCCTCTCTGATTCCTGCATAAACATCCCATATGCACAGCGGGATCCAGCCCCCTGCAAGAGGATCCAACCCCCTTCCAAGGGGGATCCAACCCCCACCCAAGGGGATCCAACCCCCATCCAAGGGGATCCAACCCCCTTCCAAGGGGATCCAACCCCCTTCCAAGGGGACCCAGCCCTCCTCCGGTTCTTTCAAGTACACTCCATATGCACAACCACATCCAGCCGCTGCAACAGGACCCAGCTCCCTGCAAGGGTATCCAGCCCCCTTCCAAGGGTATCCAGCCCCTCCTGCAATGGAATCCAGCTCCCTTTCAAGGGGATCCAACCCTCTCTGGTTCCTGCAAGGGTGCCCCATAATCCCAAGAGGATCCAGCCCCTGCAAGAGAATCTCGTCCCTCCTGCGAGGGGCTCCAGCCCTTCCCTGCCTCCTGCAGATGCCCCCCCTACACACGCGGGGATCCAGCCCCTGCCGCAGGGGATCCGGCCCCCGGCGAGGGGATTCCGGCCGCCCCGCAAGGGGATCCAGCCCCACGCCGGGGATCCGGCCCCACGAAAAGGATCCAGACCCCACCGCAAGGCATCTGGCCCCCGGCAAGCGGATCCCGCCCGCCCTGCGAGGGGATCCAGCCCTTCCCCGTCTCCTGCAGATTCCACCACGCATAAAGGGGATCCAGCCCCGGCAACAGGATCAACACCACCCCCCCC